TTCCCCTACAGCACTTGCTCGAGGCCTGTAAAGATACACTGAATTTTAGAGTAGGTATGGTCTATAACCAAGAATGGGTTAAAGTTTTTAACACCAGGTCTTATATATGCAGAAGCATCAATTTTTATAGCTGTTCAGGTTCAGCACAGAGCACTGTTACCACTAATATACAGTCCTCTTGGATTAATTAATGCACCTTGTAGCTGGCTTTCTAAAATCTAACAATAAAGCCGTTCATACCATAATCTTGGTGTGAGGTTAGTTGCGTCCACAAATTCCCCCCACAGGCAGGCTTCTCCACCTATTAAAAGCTTTTTCTGTTTTTCAGATCCTGAATTGAAAGCAGAAAGTTAGAATTTCTATTTGCCCAGAAGATGGGCATATATCAACAATTTCATTTTCCAACATTGAGACAGGATTGATGTTCAGTTGTTTGTTTTATCATATAAAATATCTATCCTGAGCACTAATTTGGTAGTCTTGTTACTGAATGTGAGAACCACCAAGCCATTTGCCCAGAGAACCCATTTCCCTTCTCTGTCAGAAAGGATTTTATCTTTTATCCTCTGAAGATATTCCTCAGCCTTCTGACATTTTTCAGAGATTTCAGTCCTGATTGAAACTGTTTATTTTACCATATACAGAACATTACTTGAAAAAGCTATGAAGTCAGGTGTTCTCCCTAATCACCTCTGAGAGCTACCTTGCACAAAATGAAAGCCCAGGGGAAAATAAAAGATGTTTGTATCAGCTTTAGCCAGAGGGAGAGAACGTCTTTTTCTAGAAGAGTCTAACACTCCAGAAGCTTGCAAACATACAAATTTGATGTCTACCAACAGCCATTTTGCACAACTCTGACCCTAGTTCATGATGCATCTGTCCACCTAGTCCAGCATCCTTTCTCACACAAGCCCCAGTGCCAGATGCTTGAGGAAGGTAACACTTTTCCCCGTAAGAAGTGGAAAGTTGCTTTTTTTTTTATTTGAGAGTTTTCGAGTCCTAGCTGACATTAAAGTCCTTTGATTACAGCGTATCTGATCATAGTGACTGCATGACCACTCTAAAGAGCCTTATTCTTTCCATTTACACCTTACTACGAACCAAAGACTTTCATGCACAGAACACACGTATAAAAAAAGTAACAAACCAGGGAAGTTAAGCGGTTCAACGCTGTAGTATTTCTTCCAGTCTTGCCCATAACTAATGTAGTCTAAGTACCAGGGAGCTGCCAGGATAGCAGTGAATCCAGCTCCAGTGACACTGCTCAGTTCATGAGCATAGCTGTTTTCCATCCACACTTGAACTACAGTTTCTGGTTTAAGCTAAAAGGGGGGAAAAACAAAACAAAAAACCCACCCCAAAACATTAAAGACAATCCTAGGAAAAAGGATGATGGATTTCAAAACTGGGTATTTTGTTCTGAAGAACATAATTCTGGAAGCTACCTTTTGTAATTCTGCCCCAATCCCCCCCCCCAAGCCGATTAACTCTTTGCTGGTTTTAAACAGAGTTTACAATAGAGTGAAGCCTAGGTTATACTATAGACAGTTCATGCCCTAAGAGGGTTCCTACATTCACCAGTTATCTGACCAGCTCTGAAAAGCTGAGCACCTGGTGTTACTAGACCAGTTATGCACAGTTACGCAAGGAAAACAGTAATACATGGAAACTCATAGAAACTTCCCTTTACTCTGATGCTCTAAAGCATATTATATGATCTATGTTCACCTTTAGAATGCACTTCAATGCTGGTGTTCCTATTCCACCTATTTTACATGTTCAATAAATGATAATTTCAAGGCAGGCCCCACACCTGGGGAGACTTGCTAAAGTCAGCAGACTTGCTTTAACTCTTAAGAGACACAACCATAACTACTTAATAGTCTACTTTGGAAGCCTCCCACAATATTGTGCTGTTACGCAAGAGTATCTTACTTATTTTCCCATCTTACCTGCACTTTGTTATCAAACACTTCTTGCCAGACCATGTATCCTTTGTCATAGGAGGAAACAATGTTCAAAATCCTAGAATTTAGAAATAAGATGTTTGTGAGCTTCAATGAGGTCAGTACAGGCACACAAATTAGCGATGTTTTCTACCCTGAGGCACATCAGGCCTTTCCCAGCACTGCATAGGGAACCAAGAAAAAAACGTTTTTTTCTGGTTTTGGCCTTCAGCGCTCTGCCTCGAAGAGGATGCTCTCCCATGTACAACGATATGCATGTGCAGTAACACAAACTGATGTTCAGAACTACCAGCAACTCATACAGGACTCTAAATCCATGTTATTTAAGAATGAGACAAATAAATGACTGCAGAAACCTTAGGACTTTTCCTCCCCACCCCGTGTGCTGACATTACAGCAGACACCTCATTTAAGATACCCAATACATTCAGAGCATGCACAGAACTGGCCCACATGCCCTTGTTGTGTCCCACATTTTAAAGCTGTGAACTTTACATTCAGTGTATTAAAATAAAAAACTGGGTAGTCCCCAGTACATGGCAATTTTTGCAAACAATATAGGCTAACCCAAATCAGCTTCAGTATCTGGACCTCAACACCACCCTCAGAGAGTGGCTGTGAAAAGCTGAGCAAGAATTAAAAAAAAGAAACAACATACTTCTGAATATAGTAAGATTCCAGTTTAGCATAGTCAATGCCAAATCCTTGCTTCTTCATGAATTCTTTCACTTCAGGGTTAGATTTCCTTAAATAATAACAACAAAACAAGTAAGAAAAAAAAGAGTAATTTTGTTTTGTTTTAAACCAGATTTCCCAACCATTTCCACCTATGCACAGCACACTAGCTGATGCCTTAGGCACACCGTAGCCTAGAACGCACAACAGAGCAGAAGCAGCAGGCTAACATGATTTAGGTATTTTAAAACGGTTTAATCCCGATTTGAAATAAAGCCAATAGTCCTACTGCTCTGGTAGAACTACTCAAGTCCCTGTTCTGAAGCAGTCCCTGGCAGGCTGCCTTGAGCTCCTAAGAGTTCTGGGGTTCCTGGCTTCTCTGCGACTTTGTGGGAAGGTTACCAGCAGGTCTGGAAACTGAGCAGCCATAGTACCAGGGGTTCTGCATGAGTGACATAAAGAATTTGGGAAATACCCCAAAAGCAAACCGACACTTTTGAGATAAAGTGTTTGTCAGAAAATTTCTTCCTTTTTAAAAATTAAAGCAAGTCCTGAGTGTTCAGATTTGATGTTTCAAGAGAACGCACAAATACTAACTAGATCAATTTGAATACTCATCCAACTAGATCTGCTCCAAATTCTTTATTACTAGTTACCCCAGCAGAGAGACTCCAAAATATTAAAAATCCACAACCAATTGAAAAACTTTATTAACACACGCCATACTTCTAATACAAGCACACAAGAGTCAGTACTGTAATACTTAATGTTAGCAGATTTTCTGGAAGGCAGAACTCCATGGAAAGAACTGCTCTTCCTTTAACACAAAGCATTTAAATGTTAATTATCTTATATAGTACTTTTCTACCAAACCAGTTCTCCTTCCTGCCAGGTTAATTTTCATAAAGAAATCCTTTAGAGTACCTGAACATTTGTGAAACTACTAGTCAAAGCAAAATTCTGCACAACATCACTTGCTTGTTGAGGATCACAAATGCTCTGCCTGTAAATAGTTAACAGAAGTAAGAGTGGAGATCTTTGGATTAAGCAGTGGCAACTGTCTCACACAACTGAGTTCCATAATTGATGGATTTAAGCAAGTTTAAGAGGCACTAGATATTTATTCTTTGAAGTGTCACCGTACCAACAATCGAAGTTCACTTCATCTCCTCCCAAATGAATGTACGCATCTGGAAATACACTGCTGATCTCTTTGAAGAATTTAGTCATGAAGTTATAAGTTGTATTCAAAATGGGATTTACAGGTCCAAAGGACCCAGTTGGCTGTTCTCCACTGTAACAAGGGGTGAGAAGACCTTTTTGACCTAATAGAAACAATTAATAGAGGATATTCAGTTCCATGTCTGTATGCTAACTTTGCTAGCAGGAAGAGGCAGTTACCCATATCAAAAAGGTTAATATTCATGACTTAAGTGCTCATCTATTTTGAGTATGATCAAATAGAGGCAGGATGAAATAAAACAACTTGCCCAACGTTGAAGAACCCTCTAACTGGAAATCAGGACTCTGACTTTTAGGTTTGTGATTTAAACACACACTGATTTATGGAACATGTCACTATACCTGGAAAAAAGCTTCTAGATGACTACTTGAATAAAAAAGCTTTAATGGATTTAGGAAGGAAGCCAATTAGAAGGAAGCCAAATATAATGAGTGTGCTCCAGAGGCCTCTTTTCTCTTTTCATTACTCTGCTTTGTTAGCATCTAAGTAGGTGGGAGGCACATGGATCAAGGTAGATGTCCTACCTTAGTCTGCTAGGAATTTACCTCTACACAAGAAAGGAAGGCTAGACAGACATCAAAACTAAGCACTGGTTCTTGAGTCAAGATACCCGAAGCAACACGAGCCAGGATAACAAAATAGGAAAAAGTTACTGTATGTAGGTTGGAGATTCCTAAGTCCAGTTTATTTGGTAAACTGTGGTTGCAGCAGCAGCACCTCCCTGGCTGTGTGTTTCCTACTCTGAGCACATTTCCCCCAAACAGGGCCCTAGTGGTAGATTGCTTCAACCACCCTCCTTGCATGCCTTAAGACTTCTCTCCAATATCTTGAATTTGAATGCAAACAAAGCATAGCTACCCAGGTTTCATAGGCAAAGCCAGGACTGGCTCCTGTGCATCACATTAAAAAAAAAGCTATTATACAAGAAGCTATCAGGAACAATTGATTTTAGGCAAGGGAGCTGAACCTTATCTTAATACGAATGTAGACCACCTCACATATCACCAGGCGAGCCACTGGCTGGTATTAGTGCTCTGTAACAGCAAAGACCACATGAGATGAAGGATTCAGAAAGACTGTTTAGCAAATTTAGGTTTTGCTTTGTTCTTTTCCTCCTCATTATAAATTAGTGAGAAAGAGGCTGAGGCATCTTCCAACATTATGGCCACATCCCCACAGGATGAGCACAAGACTTGCCTCATGGCTAAAGCTATGAAGCGCTAGAAAAATCTTTACTGTTTCCAGTTTGGCCAAAATTGTCTTACGTTAATTACAGTGAAATCGCAGCCAGCACACCTTGAATTAAGGCATAAGGTTCCCTGGCCCCTGAGTACACGTAAACACCACCACTGTCAGGGTTCAAGCATTCTCTATCAAGAGAAGTATTGCTCTGAAACCCAGAAGATAGAGAGTGAAGAAACATCAATTTTGCTGTGTTTTGTACACTGGCAGATTACCACTTTACTAATAGACAGAAACATCAACCACTTTGAAATAACCTTCCCAAACCAAAAATCTCTACTCTAGAGACAGCAACTCACTATTTCTAGCCACTGCCTTGTTACTCTAAACTCAAGACTACTGGATGGGGGGATAACAACAACATGAAGTCTAAGGCAGACAGAATATACCTGTGCCTTCGCACACACATCCAGCACAGGCAGTGTCAGCTTTCTCCGTTCACTTTAGTTCCTCTAAAATGTAAAGATCATGACCATCACTGAGTCTGCCCCTTGCTTACTTCTTATCAAGGGCCTTTCAAAGCACTTTACAGGCTGCTTTTTAAGAAGTTCATTTGCTTGCTACACCCTACTTACCACAATCTTTTAACCATTAATACTTTCTTGGACGTACCTTTTCCCCAAGACTGCGTGTGTCCTGGGGTATCAAACTCTGGGATAACTCTAATGCCTCTTAACCGGGCATACTCAATCACCAGACGGACGTCAGTAGGAGTATAGATGTGGTTATAGGAGTACGCTCCCTGTAAAGTATTCACATTTAGAGACAGTTTACAAAATGTTCTACCAGCACCTCACAAAATCTGGGTTAAAGTGTTATAATTTAGAATGGAGAGCAGTTTTGTAAGTTGGCCTTTCCTGGTTTATCACATGTGCAATTGTACTGACAGAACTTTTCGGTTGACTAGCAGGGATGGGGTGGGGGAACACAAAGCAACCCCACAAAAATTAACCCCTTTTGCCACAACAAGACAAAGCTCCTTAGGAAACCAACCTTTCCTCCTTAGCTCACAGTTACTGAAGAGAACAGAAAAGCTAGTTTCTATTCCATCAGGTTTCTGAAAGATACATTTTTCAATTCTTCTGTACAGAGGCAAGTTAGTTTTCCCCTCCACCTCTGCATCATTAGTTCTGAAACACAGGGCCTTTGTTACATGACATGCAAGACTAATGGACAAATTCTGCCAAGTCAGAAAGAATGGCATCTTCTTCCAACACCTCTTCTTGTCAGTTTTGATACAATGCCCAATTTAGCATCACGGTGTGTTTGTTTTGTGATGCTGAATTTGAGCGTTATTCCACTCCCACACAGCCAACAAATGTGACAAATGACCCAGACTGCTACAGTTTGGTGAAACAGATGGTTGCCAAAGAGCCAAACTACATAAGAAAAGCATCATGACTCCTTATGATTAATAGCACCTTAAGCTTCTATTTGTCTGGAAATGGTTTCCACAGCTGAGTTATTCAGAAGAGACAATGGTAAACAAGAAGCCTTTCAAAAAGGCCGCTATTGAGGCAAAGGCCATCTCCCTCTCTCCAGCTGTCAGTGGGGAATAGGACAGAACTCCACAGCCATTACTAGGAGAAATAATCTGACTGCACCAGCCAACATCTGCAATTTTTGAATTATAAAATTCTTCCCGGTATCTACTCAAGCACTGCCTATGACATAATTTTCATGAGGGTCAGATTCTAGCAAGCATTTTGTCCTGGTTTCGGCTGTGATAGAGTTAATTTTCTTCCCAGTAGCTGGTATAGTGCCGTGGTTTGGATTGTTCTTTAGTACAAGAACAATGTTGATAACATACTCATGTTTTAGTTGTTGCTAAGTAGTGCTTACATTAGTCAAGGACTTTTCAGCTTCTCATGCCCTGCCAGTGAGAAGCTGGGAGGGGGCACAGCCAGGACAGCTGACCCAAACTGGCCAAAGGGATATTCCATACCATGTGACATCATGCTCGGTATATAAACTGGGGGGAGTTGGCCGGGGGGCAGTGACTGCTGCTCGGGAACTGGCTGGGCATTGGTCAGTGGGTGGTGAGCAATTGCATTGTGCATCACTTATTTTGTATATTCTTTTATCATTATTATTTTCCCTTCCTTTTCTGTCCTATTCAACTGCCTTTATCTCAACCCACGAATTTTAGTCTCTTTTCCTAATTCTCTCCCCCATCCCACTGGGGGCGAGGGGGGGGAGTTAGCAAACAGTTGTGTGGTGTTCAGCTGCCTGCTGGGTTAAACCACAACACATTTTAAAACAGAATCACAAATCTTGTGCTTAGGCTCAGTCTACTTAATTATTCATGCTTGATTTGGCTACTACTGTACCGTGACCGAGCAAGAACCTCATAGTGACCTTCATTAATTAGCAAAATCTGCTGTGAATCAGGAAATAAAGAGATACATTGCACTGTATTTGTTTTAGAAAACAACCTCTCACATGTGGAACTCTTATAGACATGTTATGTTTTGTAAAGTTAACTAGATCTCAGAAAGGGCAAAAGTACTACTGCAGTGGTTCCAAACCTAGAGCTGACAGGAAACTCTTACGTTTGTTTTAGTGGCAGAAAGTCTACCAGTTAAAACAAACAAACCAACAGAAATCCACACAGTATTCACCACAACAGGTTATTTGCACACCATTACTGCTTGAAGGCCTGCAAACACTGAGGATCACTGTCACCAGCAATCTTGCACAGAAGAGTTAGGAAGGTCATTTACCATGCATCCACCAAGGAAGACTTGAACATGGTCTACACAGACACTCAGGTAGGATTCTAAATACGGACTTGCTGGTTACTGGTCCTCTGGTACTGTTTCACAATCAGCCAAGGCAGACATATTCAACCATTGGTAGGCTCTGCATTTTATTTTGATGAAGTATGTGCCAGATTTCTGCCCTCCCATCCTGTTCCAATTATGTTTACTCACCTTGTCACTTAACTCAGGGAAATAAATACTCTGGTAAGGGAATGACTGATCATCTACTATATGCCAGTGGAGAACATTGAACTTGTTAAAAGCCATGGCATCCTGTAACAAATAATGCAATACAGTCTAGTTAAGCACTTCACTCTCACAGAAAACCTATGCAAAAGAGGTGGTCTTGTCCCAGTATATCCTGCATGCTTAAAGCAACAACTTAAAAAACCCAAAAAACAAAACACCAAAGAAAAAGCATACCGTGTTTTACCAAATCCTAGAAGCATACACCAAAACACACCAGCCTGTTTATACTATAGCTCCATTCCTCTGCCACCTATTTGCACCACTCCTGTCGACAAGCTCTTGATCTGATCATGCTAGACTGGCTGGTAGAAGGGGAACTGCTATAAATGGTTACGAATTTCTTCCACTTCAGAACATATCTGGGTAATTCTCTATGCACCATCAGCTATTTCAGCTTACAGAAAAGCTTATACTTTGCTACCTAAATACTTTGGACTCAAAAACTAAACAGCATGAGAGAGTTTCCTACTATTTAGTATATCCCTTGCTAGTGACTTCTGCAGAATCCATTTCAAATGCATGTGAAATAAACCATGCATCTTCCCCGCAGAAGATAGTGTTCCCCTTATGTTTTCAGTCATTACACTGTCAGTACTTCCCTTTTTTGAATTTGAAGATCAAGATAAGTGTTAACACACTTATTTTAGAATTATGACTCCAGATGGACAGTTACACACATACCCTGGTTATGCAAGTTTTTTAGTCACTAGAAGTGGTGTGTGCTGTGAGCAGACAGAGTGTTCTCTACCTTGTTCGGGACTAAGTAATTGCAACAAAATTGCTTCCAATCCCTTGCCACAATACAATTATTTCCACCCCTCCCCCCTTCTTTTTTCATCAAGCTTTAGTGGCGTGTTTAAAGAAGTGACAAAATCTCTTCAGGAAGTCCCACCAAATGCAAAGGAAGATTCATACCTTGTCCATTCCCCCAGGTTATCTCATGTGTTTTATTAGACAGCAGAGTTTTAATTACTGCATGTCTTCATGCATTTCTATCAAATACCATCTTTCCACATAGAAAATTCTATCTCCTGACATTCACCTCAGCCACTCCTTCCTCAAGGACAATGCCCTTCCTGGAAATACAGTACAGCAGCTGAACACAGACAAGAAATGTACTTGAACTGCTGCCTTAAGCATTAATTACCACATGTCAGTGAAGGGATTACTGCTGCTTTTTATTAGGTTAGCCTGGATTCAAGAAGGCACAGAGGTGGGAAGAAAAGCGCGCTTGTTCTTAAACCAGCAAAATGTCCTAAAATGTAGCTCTGGGAAAGTATTAGAGTCACAGACATAATTTAAGGAAAGAAGACAGAATAGCAACAGTTACAGAAACACAAAAATGATTAGAAATGCAAGTCTCAGGAGTCAAGTTACTCTTTCGACATTGTTGTCTCTTAGAAAAGACAACAAATATTGACACAAGTAACTACTTGAGACTTCGAAGCACCCTCAGTTGTAAATGAAACACCACACAAACACTACTTGCTGAACAGGGACTGGTCTTAAAGGTAAATACAAGTGGTAAATACCCATGGAGGGGCAAGTTCTGAGCACAGTTCAAGGATAACCTCAGAAATTAAGACTGGTTTTACCTGCACAGTCTTCCTGCCCATCTTAAGCCTGCTCTGCAAAGTTCTGCAACATGGAAGGGAAATTTCTAACACTATTTCATTGTGGAAAAGCAAGACAGAGACAAGACAGGAAACTGCATGGTCCTCCAGTCAAAGGCTTCTCCATTTCAACCCACCAAATAAGCCCTGCTACAAGGATCTCAACAGCAGAAAAGGGGAGTACGAAACAGAAATCCCACAGCTTTGGCTGCTATGATTACACAAATTCACCACTTTCCCATCAAGGTGGGAGTATACAATTCTTCGTGTGCTTACTTAAGCTTTTTGAAGAAAGTTTTGTTTGTTTTTTTTGTTTGTGTGGTTCTTCTTTTTAAAGAGATGCGGTGAAAAAAGTCAGTAGCTTCCAATGAACATTTCCAATTTCCCCCCTTGCTCTGTACTACTTAATTACTGGCTTGCTCTTAGCAGCCTAAGAAAGGACTACTAAAGCCTGGTTATTGAAAAGACTGGAACTTTCCTACAACCACTGGCACTGAAGCCAGGACTTGCAAGGTCTCCCCTGTACTGCTTGGTGACAGTCAGATGTCACAGAACATGCTTCCAAGAAATACATGAGCTGGTTTAGGCAACAGAAAATACAGAAAACCCAAGGTACCACAAATCCCAGCCTCCTTTACAGATTCACTAATCATTGCGTCTGCCCACTCAATTCCTCTCTGGTGTATGTTCTGACCGTCACTTAGCAAACAAAGTTCATTCTGTTCTTCTAGCAGTCAGCCGGAGGAGATGGGTTCTCTTTTCATACCAGCTCCAGTTGCTACCTACTTCAGGGAGCAAAACACAACAACAAAAAGCCTTCATTATTAATGATACAAAACTGCCCACTTACCAGGTTTGTAAGAATAGATTTCAGTGGTAAATAATGCCTTGAAGTGTCTAGTAAGATTCCTCTATGAGCAAATCTTGGGAAGTCGTCGATTTCAGATTCATTGACAAGAAACTGTAAGAAGGAGATTTAAAAATTAGAACTCCCATTTTATATTCATCATTTCAAACAGGAAATACTTACTTTTCAGTTTGTTAACAGCTTTCCAAGGATCATTTTATGAAAAAATACTTAATGAAACTAGTAGATCTTTTGTTTCTAGAAGAGCACCTAATGAAGAACGTGGTTGTCTTGTTATCAGGACTGTGGTTTTAGTTAATAGCTATACTTACGCTTCCATAGTCATCTTCATGAACCAACTGGCTGAAGGTTTCCAAACCTGAAAAGAAAAAAAAAATCCAAGAAAGTGATCTGGAGTACAACCCAGTCAGTACTTGTCCTTAAATTTTTAGTTAAAAACAGGACCGAAACTATTTACAGGCATTCACATAGCTAGAAAGAATGCTTCGTAGCTGGGTTTCTTTCTCTTTAGCACAGTTTCCTTAATTGCTCAAGAACCACAGTTAACGAAGTTCTGAAGAGAGAACCATTCAAGCTCTCCATTATACACAAGTACTGCATATTAGCCCTACAGCTCAGCTGCACCATATTAATCCCTGAATAGTATGGGAGTTACTGAGAGTAAGGTAGGAATTTCTGGTGTTGTGATGCATCTATTCCTGTCATTTCTGGAACTGGTGAAGTTTCTAATTCAGCATGAAAAATCTGCTAATTTTGACTTACATTCCAGTAAGAACAGCAGACTGAAACTTCAGCATTATGATCTTCTTGGTGATGTGTCCAGCATATTCAGTTATTAGAGGCAGTCAGAGAATAATCTGTTCATGCTGTAGATCAGAGAGCTTTTTAGCACCCAGAATTTGGTTGGCTTGGCTGATTTCAGGCACAGCGAGAATGCACGTATGGTGTGCCACTGGATCTGAGATGCTGAGCATCTGGACTGCGGGTCTGACCAACACACATCTGGGTATCCTTCTGGCCTCTATGCCCAAGCTTACTTCCTGTGAAGGACTGAATGAGGGCAAGGCTCAGCGGTCAGCTGGTTCTTAGTCTGGCATGGAGTTTGTATAAGCCCAGAACAAATAGCTCTATAGGAAAAGTATCAGCTTACCTCTTAAAGCACCCCATACCTCATTTGCTTTCAGTACAGCCACAGGCTCAGTTACAGTTAAATGATCTAAAGAAAAGAAAAAAAAAAAGTTATTCCTCAAGGAAGCATGGATTGACAGGACGATGCTAACAGGCATTAAAAAGATTCTTCAAGTGCTACATCTGCCTTTGGTTTTTAAATTCTAACCAATGCTGTTTTCAACAGTGATACCGTGCAGCTATTTTTCATTTATGTGCTCCTGAAATAATGCAACCTACTAGTCAGACAGTCAACAGTTGATCAGTAAGATGCTAAAACAAATAAGGTGCTTAATAATGGCAATGTTAAATATTGCACATGGGCCAGAATTCCAGCCAAGTTTAACCCAACTGATTTAAAACATATCAGATGATATTTTTGTATTTAAGATATAGGTGATAAGGGTTGGGTAACTAAGCCAGACCTAACTGCAGAAGTTTACTTCTCCTTTTACCTTCCTTTTATATAGATTATGCTTACCTATTTTTTTAGAGATATAGCTTGTGAAGTAGTATTGTTAGGTGCTTACTATAAAGGTCTAATTACAAAGGGGGGGGGTGGGGGGAATCAGACCCCACCATCTAATGAGCACATGTATGGGGGCAGTGAGATGAAGTTAGGTAAGTAAAATGAAGAATGGTATCTCAAGGTATCCACAACAATCCTCCCTTAAGTTTGAGTACTGAAGTACAGTACAAAGTACTGGGGAAAAAAAAAAAGCTAAAATCATTTAGTTTTTCCATTTAAGGTGATTCAGTAAGTTTTAGTGAAGAAACAAGTATCTTTTAAATATGTTAATTTTTTTTAAAAATCACATATATATGTATAAAAATACACTATATCTATAAAGCTATATATTTATATTATTATTTAAACATCAAAGCAATAATAAACTAACCAGAGTCACACATTTGAAGCAGCAGAGAAAAAATCAGAGGGGTAAATTGCTGTATAATGATTTAGTGGATCTACCTCAGCATGAAAGAACGGTTGGTTATAAGTTATACAGTTCAAACATTTGTCTAAACTACCAGAGAAAAGCCATTCAGGGACATGAAGAAAGTACCTCAAGCTTCCATTTTAATCTAAACACAGATTGCATATACTGGAAGTTCTGGGTAAGAAACAGAAGACTACTGCAATCTCCACGGGTCTTTCTGTGGTAAATCGTAGTTCAGTCAGGGATTTACTTCCAAGACAGCAGGCTTTTTTCTGAACATATATCATACCTTAAATGAACACAGAACAGCAAGTTTTGTATGGCTATTTGGAACCTTTTACACAAGCAGGCAAGAAGCCAGCAGGGAGAAGGGCAGATAACTTGTACTTTACGTATCCAATCCTCTTGCTATAGGATAGTCACTGACTGATCCATACCATCTCCATTAAGAAAAGGAGCCAGACTGCTCAATCCAGCAAATGACTAACAACTGCATATTTAGCATTTGCTCCCCAAACAAGCTATCCCATTAAAAGTACAAAATCAAAGTCTTGCTGAAGTCTGGAGAGCTCAGCTTACCACATAAGGAAAACTTCATGTTATTTGTAACAGGAATCTCCTTTCCTACAGCAGTGGGAAAAACTCTGACTGTTCGGAAGAGTGCAACCTAAAAATCACACAATCTGACAGAATTCCCTGACAGAAGAGAAGAACTAGCTTTGGTTAAAATATGAAGTTCACAAACTAGTTCAAAGTTCAACTAGTAGCAAAGCAGTATAATAACCTGACTGTGGCAGAAAGTTTCTAAAGCATTAGCAATTTTGCTGCTATACCTCATTTGCATTGAAACGTATGATAAACTTGCACACAAAAACTGCACTACTTGGCTAAATGTACCAAAAAGTCTGAGTAAACTTAAAATCAGTACACTCTATCACAAGTCAGGTGGAATTAATCCTGCTGCGGATATATGACTTAAGATTAAAAGGATCTTTTTCTAAGGATCTGTATCCTGGAAACCAAACAACTGCCTTGCCTAGTACAGAAGATTATCTCAAGACAGAACTAGATGAATTGAATATGTTGAATTCTGTGCTAACCTGCCCAGAGAAAAAGCAATACCATCCTTATCTCTGTTAAGAAACTTCTCTGGTGATTAGGACTTGATCTTAGAGTACTTCTCCACTCCAGACTTCAGGCATAGAACTAAAAAAGCATAGCAAAACAAATCCAATATAACCATCGTGTTTTTAAGTCCTTTCTTGTATCTACTGATAGAAAGAAAGTGGATTTATAATACTGCAAGATGAATAAAAGGAAGTTCAATGAACACCTTCCGGTCTTCCAGGAAAACCAGAAATATCCTGTACATAAGCCAGTGTAGGTAGCTTCAATCAAATGTAGTTATTTCTAAGGACAGCAGATGAATAAGCAAAGCCAGCCTTCACACAACACCCTGTACTGAAAGAAAGGATGATCTCTTGACTACACATAGATCTCAGCACACATAATTGGGTACAGCACAGCATAATACCTCTGATTCTTTTAATTTTAAATTTAATCTTAATTACAGTTACTAGAAAGGATAGCAGCAGGTAAATGAGTTGAATGCTAGCTAAACTGCAGAAATCATAGGTTACACTTCTAACCAGCTTCATGATTCACTCTGGGCTGAGATTTCCCACAGCGTTAAGAGCAAGAATTATCTTCTGGTTGCCACTATTGCGAAATGTTCTCGAGCGCCTCAGTGAGCCTACGATTCCAGTTCCTTAAAAAAAAAAAATCAGCTGACTTTCACATCGCACACGACTGGAAAAGAAGCGCTAACGATGCTGTATAAGCCGTGGAAGGAGAGAGGAACGCGGTGACCGGCTGTGCGCGGTACTCACAGGCCTCGTTGGAAGCGAGGTGCGGGTAGCTGTGACAGCCGGGGTCCCGGGACTCGATCACCACCTGCAGCTGCGACAGCTCGGGCTCCGTTCGGGCGCCGAGCGGCCTGCGGCCCCGCCTCCGGCGGGACTGTCCGAACACGTACTCGTAGTACCTGCCGGGGAAGCACAGGCGCCGGCGCGGCCCTGAGGCAACCGCTCCCGCCGCCTGCAGCCGCGCCGC